ATAGAAAAGGTGAGAGAGAGATCTTCTTTTTAAATTCATTGCTGGCTTTGCTGTAATGCTGTGATGGGGAGTGAAGCTCAAATATATATATACATATATATAGATAGATATATATAATCACAAAGTAGGGCACTATGAGACTGAGTAGGAGAATGAAGAAGCAGCTGTACAGCACCAATTAGTGCTTGTTACTCCATCCAACAGTGTCATGAGTGCTGCAGCAAGAGCTGATCTCAGTATCACACCTCGAGGTGCAGCGCGCCGGCTGAATCGAGATATACTGACATCCGTTGACACAGGCAGATGATCAGTGTGGCTGGTGTAGCACAAACTGTCAGATTTTGTGTTTTTCTGATAGGCCAGAAGTTGGCAGTTTGTGGTGAGTCAGCTGGTACCGGGACAGTTCCCAGATCTGACATTTAAACAGTGCCAGGAAGAGGAACACGGAGACTCTGCAGCTGAGCCGAGGCGCTCATTCACACCCAGAAATTTATTCAGCAAATTTTCACCTCCTTCATGTGTTTACAAACAGATCTGTTGTCCTGGAATATATCCTTCACTTAAAGTTATTGAGCAAATATTTTCTGGGACCCATTTCTAAGGTTTCTTGACCAGTCCAGTTCAGGTGTTCAGATTTGAAAATTAAGACTGTTTTGGTGAAGCAAACTGATTGTGTGGTGTGGGCTCACTTGATGGCAGGATGCATTTTCAGCTGCAAAGATTCCCATCTACACATTCATTTGCCATAGAAGTTCTGCCAGTGGTTTTTAAAAGATGCTGAATGAGAAATATTTTACTAGTTGTCTTAGAAGAAAGAGATCCTGTGGGCACAGTTAGGACAAGAGGGCGTGGGTTTAAGCTCTGCCAGGGAAGGTTTAGGTCAGATATTAGAAAGAAGTTCTTTACAGAGAGAGTGATCAGGCATTGGAATGGCCTGCCCAGAGAGGTGGTGGATTCACCATCCCTGGAGGTTTTTAAGATGAGGCTGGATGTGGCACTGAGTGCCATGATCTGGTAATCACAGTGGGGTTGGATCAGTGGTTGGACTTGATGATCTCGGAGGTCTCTTCCAACCCAGTTGATTCTATGATTCTATGATTCTATGATTCTATGATAGAAATGGCTGAACTTGAAGATAATTTTTACTATAATTGCCTAGTCCTAATTTCTAGTGGAAATCTAAAGGTAGAGAAATAAGGTAATATACAGGCACATTAGCTAATAAATGAAAGAGTGGACACGATGCACTTAAAATATTTCATGGAAGGAGAGAGAGAAAGGGTGAAAGGATGGATGAAAGGAAGAAAGACAGGCTTATTTCTGCAGTAATTTCTTACTGTAATTAAATCAATTAACTCAATTGTTAATGCTAACTTTTAAGGAAAAGGTAGTAAGGGATATCAGGTAGAAACATTGCCCAGAAAATGGTGAAATTTTAAATCCACCCACCCAAGATCAACTCTAGAAACTTTAGTCCAATTTTTTTCTCTTTCTTTTTTTTTCTCCAGGTTTCCTATATCAAAACTCCAAAGCAAGTAGATGAATTTATTGAAATCCAGAGCTCAACTGGGACCTGGTACCAGCGGTGGCTGGTCAGAATCACGACTACTTTAAAACAGGTAAAGAGAAGAAAAAAACCTCACAAAGGGTGTTTTGAGCTTTGGGCTCTGGTGCCTCACTGATTTAGGTAATTGTATCTTAGAACACTGACTGTCACCCAAAAAAAAACGGCATTTTCTTTGCAAAGGGCCGTAATCTGACTGTTCTTTTTGTGCAGATGTGAGCATCTGTAAGCTGCCAGCCAGCCCCCCAAATGCCCCTGAGAGCATCATCATAGTCCAGGAGTGCAGAGCTTCCAGGACCAGCCACAGCCCCAAGCACTTGGCTCTCCTCCTGAACTGATAAATATTAATTCTCTCTCCCCATGCCTGGAGAAGTGAAATTACCACCTGCAGTGGATTCAGATTAAGTTTGCTCTTTGTTCCTGCTGAGACTGAGTTTCAAACAATGTCTCCTTGGCTCATTTAACCTTTCACATGTGCTATGCTGCTCACCTAATAACCATGTAGGACTTTTGCTAGAACTTCTAGTCTCAAAGGATGAGCTGAATGTAAAGGAAAGTCATTAATATTTAAAATGCTGTACTATTAATATATTTATGTGTCAAGTTAAGAGCATGAGGAGTTATATCTCCTTGTGTTCCTGGCAGTATTTTCTGCAGTGGACCAAGAGGAGCAGGTCTTGGTTTGCCTTTGCTTTGCTTGGCTTTTTCCCTACCTGAGTTCATCTTACCCCTCCTAAGGTGCCAGCTGTGTTTGAGTTTTTGCTCTTTAGTTAGCTTTGGAGCTTGGTCTGAAAGCACCTCTGGGACTATACATATATTTGAAAAGATCAAGTTGTCAGAAGGTCTGAGAAGAGGCTCATAACCACATTTACTGATATAACCAGAGAGAGAAACAGCATCAGACCAGCCCAGACCTAGTCATGCACTCCAGCACATTACAGAGGGCTCAGATCAAGAACCCTGGCATATAGCTGAACAAGTGACCTTTATGTTATCCATTTATCTCAATAAATATAATTTTGAACAAACACTGAATATAAGCCCATATAACATCTGACCTTCCCCCAGTGAACTCACTTTTCTGCCGTTAGATTTATGATGCACTCAGAGATTAATCAGAGTGTCTGCGAGGGTGTCCTGACAGCTAATTTCTTCTTGTGGGTTTGTAGGTCTGGGACAACGTGCTATATTGCTTAACAGCCCAGTACAGGATGAACACACTGATGCTGGCTGTGGTTTGGTTTACAATGGCCTTAAGGTAAGGTACTTTAACTTCTTCAGGAAACTAAAGGACCCTCAGAGTTTGAATAATTATTTACACATTTAAATAAACTATTACAAAAGTAATCCCGGTTTTATTTTAAAGACTCTTTGTGTACTAAGCTTTGCTCTCCTATAAATATTGATCCATCTAATTGCTTATATGAGATATAAGGTGCTTTGATCAAATCAGGGCTTGAGAAGTGGTCAGTAGTGCAGTAATATATTGACTTCCTCACCTCTACATCTTTCATTTAATCTTGTCCAAACACACAAAAAAGATGCAACCCTGCCTGATTCCCAGCTGTTCCTTAGTCTAGATCAAAACTATTCAGGTAAGCCTAAATCTAAACTATTCAGGTAAGCCTAAATCAGGTAAATTTTGTCGAATTCTCACTTAAACCTCACACTTGCAGAAATCTGCAAAATTTCTTAGTGCTCTGCTAGTCTCTTGGGCAGCAAGGATAGCGCATTGCTTTATTCCCCAACCAAGGGGAACTCAAATGAGTTGCCCTGATTTAAATGAAAGGGAATGGACAAACATGCTTCTGGTGATAGGGGAGTGTTTAGGCTGGAGAAACACTTTGCTCGGTCCTGTGTCAGGGCTGAGCAAGAATTTGTGTCAGAAATGCATTTGCATTAGAAGTTTAACAAGTTTGCAAGTTATGAACTCGATGATTGGAAGTATCTTGTATTCCTGATGTATTTCTCCCATCCTGCTTTAGTTACTATGGCCTTATTGTTTGGTTCCCTGATATGATCCGGTACTTCCAAGACGAGGCATATGATTCGAGAGTGAAGATCTTTGAGGAGGAAGAAGTGTCCCACTTCACCTTTAATTTCACCCTGGAAAACCAGATCCATAGAAATGGGGAATACAGGAATGACAAGTAAGTGAACAGAATTTGGTTTGATGTATTTGAACTGAAATCTAGAAAGCTCTTTTTTTTTTTTTTTTTTTTTTTTTTTTTTTTTTTTTTTTTTTTTTTTTTTTTTTTTTTTTTTTTTTTTTTTTTTTTAATATTTTTATATTTTCCATGAACTTGAACCTCTCTGTTGCTCTTTTGGACACGCAGAATAAATCTCTCAAATCCCAAACGCAGTTTTCCACAGGCCAGATACCCTTTTTATCCTGTTTTTCCACATACCCTGCCTCAGTCCCTGGCACCTCCAGACCCCAAGGGGATCCCTGTGAGGAGTCCTGCTTCCCAGCAGCCCGTTGTTGGGATCAGGGCAGTGGGTGCCCACCTGGCTGGGCTGGGCAGCTCTGAATGGAGAGATGATTTCTCTTTCCTTAGCCCACACTGACATCTACTGGGCTTGGGCAGAAGAGATCATCACTGGTAATAAAACTGCTCTGCTGCTATATTTCCAAAATAAAAAGCTATTTTCTCTTGAAGTCCTCAGTATGAATTACCCCAGGCTCTAACCTGCAGCCCATTAGTGTGAGCTGTGCCATGGCCACACTGGTGTGCTTCTCCCATTCCAGCCAGCTTCTCCCCACAGCTGAGTGTGTCACCTTCTCTTTTAAAGTCAGTGAAGTTGCTCCAGCAGAACATCGTTGGTTTCTTTCCTTTTTTTCTCCTATTTGGGCAAAGCTTAATGGGTTTTCTTCTGTATCCAGCTTGGACCCCAATTACTCTATGTTCCACAGCAATATAAATCCTAGCCATTCCATTACTACTTTTCAAAATCCCAATAAAAAGGGTGGAAAAATACCCCTATGTAATTTATGGGGAGATCCCATTGCCTCAGACAGACTTAACAGGATGTTGCTCCAGCTGCCTTGCACCACGTGGGGAGTTCCCACTGTATGTTCAGTGTTACACAAAGCACTCATTGTTTTAATCTTCACAGCTGAAACCATGTCTCATTGCCCAGCCAGGTTGTTTCTCCTCCCTCAGAAATTATTTGTCTCCATTCGCTTGGTATATATTTGATAGACATTGGTGGGAGACCCCAATATGTGTCCTCATGTCCTTCCAGAGACCTTCTCTGCAGGAAGGAGCTGTGCTTGGTGGTGAAACTCTAGCCCTGCAATTCCTACTCCCCAAAAGAAAGTGGTGATAAGTGGATGTTAGTCAAATTTAGGGACCTTTTTCTCATGCTCAGAGGAGAGGCTGAGCTTTCACTTATTTCATTGAGAATTAAGGATGCTCAGCACCTTACTTGACAAAGACATAAACTGTGATGTACATCACTGTGCTTCTGCCTTGTCCCTCTCCAATTCAGAAACTCAGAACCTGATCCAGCTGCATTCCAGTAATGCCCAGACAGTATCTCAATGAAGTTTACAGCTGTGTTTTTCCTCCAGCCCTTGGCTGTGAGCTAAAAGCCCACGGATCGCCAGGCCATTGCTGACTCTTTTAAAGATGGATATTAATAAAGCAAACTGCAGGAAAAACAGGCTTCTAAAAGCCTTTGGGGGGCAAATCCATCATAGGCTATTAATGAGCAAATGCAGAACAGTTTTAAGTTCTGCTATGACCTATGAGACCTTCACATGGAGCAAAAGACTTGAATAGTCTTCTTGTGGTATTTTGTGCATTAATAATTTCTGTTAGGAGGTTCAGTAAAGAACCCCTGCAGTGCTCATTTAAAGATGTAAATAGCCATCACACTACACTGTTGTAAGTGCTCAATTCAATTAAGCTTCTGAATATATGTTAGAAGGTTTTTTTGTTGGGTGACAGTAGTGGACTCTTTAACTGGAGCAATAATGTGTGTTCTGAATAGCTCCTTACATTGTCCAAACATGCCTGTGCATTACCTAATACATCTTCTCAGTGTTCCTGCAAAATCTCACAGGTAAATCAATACTGTGTCATCCTTCAGGCAGTCAGGTCAGACATGTCAAGCTTCGCATCAGAGGAGGAATCAATCACCTGATATAGTTTATTATTTTTAGTGAAATCTGTTTTCATTACATGATAAGCAATATACCTCAGAGATGGTTGCAGGCAGAACTCAGATATCTCCCCACTCTTTCCAAAAACCCTACTGCATTTTCACTTTAAAAATCACTTTGAGTTTAAACAACTGTCAGAAACCTTTCACCAAATGGCTCAATAGGCTCCTGATAATGTCTGCCTTTATTTATGCTGGGGGAAGGGTGAGAATAAGGAAAGCAGCAGTGTCAGCTCCCAAAGGAAATGCCCTGCATTGAGTGAAAGTCAATTTCTTCAGATGGCCTAGAACTGAACATGAGAGGATTTTTGTCCCCTCAGCCTTAGAAGCACATTTTGTTAGATGTGATTATTTTGAGGAATAAACTGCCAAAGATCCTATAAGGTCCATATTTCTTTAAAAAAAAAACCAACCTCTTCAAACCCTTCTCTCCTACTAAAACTCAAAATATGCAAGCATGGAGTTAGAAGAAGAGTTATGTAGTCAAGCAACACCTTTTCTGTAAATGACCCTAGAAACTGCCATTAGTGCTCTGTCTCTTGAAACAGCCACTGCACACTACACAGTGTAGAAAATATCTTAAAGCACAGAGTGAAGTTCTGTTTCCTGCCCCACAGATTTATTGGCATGAAATTCAAGGAAGTAAAATTTGAGGATTCGTTATTTGAGGATTGCTACTTTGAAGATGTGACATCCAGTGAGACCTTCTTTGAAAACTGCACCATCATCTCTACTGTCTTTTATAATACTGGTAATGGGATTGCTGCTATGGTGTCATCTCCGTAACTAGGAACTATTTTTATCAGAAAACTATTTTATCTATTTTCTGGATGATAGGGATCTGTGAGTTTGAGTGTGTGCTGGGTAATGCGAGTGATGACGGAAAAAAAGAGGGTGATACTCCTTCAGGTTGTTCCATTAGGGCTTTTAACCACATGGCTTCCAGTGTCACTGGCTGTTTTGTGGCAGATGCAAAATTCAGCACTCAGACCTTGACAGCTTAAAGTAATGGCAAAATTCTCAGCACTTTACAGCTCTGTTCGGTAAATTTGGCTTAAACTGCAATTTTAACCAATTGGTGGTTGATGATTGTAAGTAGTAAAACAGTCATTAAGTTATCCTGAAGAAGCTTTTCATTTGTACCCTAATAAAGAACAAACCATAATGCCATGAAATCAAAGCTTGCATTGCCCTGTCCTTGTGGCATGGGGATACTGGTCTAGGTGACTCCAAAAATAAAAGGAGTGTATGATCCTGCAACCCACCAGGAGCCAAGGACACAGCTAGAGTTTGCCACTGAAATAGAAACTCCCTGGCCATTTGCATTTGATGAGGAGCTTTTCCTGGGTCTTTGATTTGGTTAGATCTGGCTCCCATTGTTGCTGTATGAAGGGGGTTCAGCCAAGCAGGGTCAAGACTTTGCCTCTTTCACTCACAGATCTCTACGAACACAAATTCATCAACTGCAGGCTCATAAACAGCACGTTCATGAAGGAGAAGGAAGGCTGCCACATCGACTTCGAGGAGGACAATGATTTCCTGATCTACCTGGTCAGCTTCCTGGGCAGTCTGTCTGTCCTGCCAGGCAACATCATCTCTGCATTGCTCATGGACAAAATTGGGAGGATAAAGATGATTGGTGAGTGGGGACGGTGGGTGATGGCACAGGTCAGGGGTGGGAACACGGCCCTGCAAAAACCATGGTCAGTGTGAAGAACTGAATGCATTTGCACACCGAGAGGGCTCTGCTGGGAATGAGTCATCCCCATATCAAAAGGAGCAGAAGGATAAAGACTAGAGGATGAAGCAAGTGATCTACTCCATCACAGTGTGCAAGTAACCTACTCCCCGCCTCCTCACTCTGATTTTCTGTGTGTCCATGACATCCTTCTTTTTATTTTATTTTGACTGTTTGTCCACGGGTTGGAGCTGAAGCAGGACCTCTTGGTGCTGTTGAGCTGACGCCGAAGTCCAAAGCCTCTGTGTAAATAAATGAACACTTTGCTTGTAGCAATGAATATTCACAAAGGTTATTTGATGTGGCAGCCTGACAGCCCAGGAGTTCCCTCTTTTGTTTTTTCTGATTTTCAAATGATTGTACAAACAGCTTCAGGGACCATATGGTAAATTAACTGATCATGCCGCAGCCAAGCAAGGTGTCACCCTTTATGTGACTATGGAATATGTTACAGAGTTATCACCTTATGAGCTCTACGAATACTTTGAGAATTTCTGCTGTTGCTTCCTCCAGAGTTCAGCCTTTTTTCTCCAGATACTATAGGAATCGTGGCCAAAGGGACAGCTAAGGGAAGTTAATAAAATCAGGGATGTATCTCAGGGGTAAGGAATGAATCACTCTCTTGAGCTCACCTCTCTCTCTCCTCTGAGAACAGAGGGAAGGTTAGTTAGTTTTGCTTCACCATCAGACAGGTTGAAGTAGAGCAAGATGACCCCATTCGTGTGTCAGGAATGTACCTGGGGGAAAATGAGCATTCATGTGGTGAATTTGGAAAAGACCCAAACAAACCAGAGGGTCTGTGGGAAATAAAGGAAGCTGAACGACAGTGAGATTGTCCATCCTGCAAACATGTCAGCTTTTCAGCATTTTCATCTGGAATGGAGATGACAGCTGGAACCCTAAATGCTTATTTCTTCTGCAAAATGAAGAGCACAGGACAAAAATTGGTAATGACACAGTGAAACAGTTCACTATGGAATTTTCAATTGAAACAGCCTTCTGGCATCCCACCTGTATCACTCTGTTGAACATATTATTTCTAGTCAGCTTAAGAGGAAAACTGTATTTCACTTTTGTGTTATTTGCCTTTCTGGGACTTCAGTTTTCTTATGTCCCTCCAAACATTCTCTTGTATAAAACAGCAGATCTGGTGCCCTCACGATGACCCTAATGCTGGACTGTGCATTTTCAGCAGGGAGAAATATCCACACTGGGATGTGGTTTTGTCACGTACCGTGGAGGAGAAGTGGACATGGGGTCCTGCATGGCAGCTTTTCATAAGCAGGGCACTACATAATGTCCAAAATGAAGCATTTTAGTTCCAGTTCAGCACCCAAATTATTTCAGATGGTGCAAAATTGATTAAAAAAAAACCCAAAAAACAAAGAAAATTGTTTGGTGTTCAGGTAGTAAATGGAGCTATTTCAGTGATAACAGAACTTTGCAGTGGAAAATACTTTGATATTGCAAAAATTGCATCTTTCAGGTGAAAATTCTCAGTGGGGTAGAAGTCAGTGAGGTAGCTATTAATATTTCTGAATTTGAACTGTGCCTAACTGAGCATGAATGCTCTCACTTTCTCCCTTGGTGGTGTTCATAAAATTATGGCTCCTGTGCAAATGTGCCATGAAATCTAATGATGTTCTTATAATTAAAAGAGACCTCAAATGCTTCATACAAGTGACTGTAAATTATCCTAATTGGGACTAGAAATGTGTCAAGTGACTTCAATACGATATGAAACGCGCTAGCTTATCACTTGAAACTCAAGTTGAAAAGCCTTCACAATGATGCTTCCTCCTCATTGACTTTCATGTTTACTTGCCTCTGCTCTTCCCGGGTCCCTCTGGAAGTCTGAGATGCCGGAAACCTGCCTGGAAAAGCCTGTCTTCAGAGTCTTTGTAGAGCAGGACTATCAGCAAGATCAGATGATCATTTAGAAGAGTTTCAAGATGGTTTCCAGCATCAGAGAATGAGAGATAGGCAGCATCAAAGTATTTTGGGATTCTTACAGATATAATTCCTATTGGGTTGAAATGCCTTTTCTTGAAAGCCATCTTTATCAACAAATGTGTTTGCTCAGTTGTGAACTTGGGGGTGCTGGTGCTAACATTCTTCTCTTGGTTTCCCCCCATAGGTGGCTCAATGTTGATCTCAGCAGTGTGCTGCTTCTTCCTCTTTTTTGGCAACAGTGAGTCAGCAATGATTGGCTGGCAATGCCTCTTTTGTGGGGCCAGCATCGCTGCCTGGAATGCCCTGGATGTCATTACCGTGGAGCTCTACCCCACAGACAAAAGGTACTCAGATCATTTTTCCTTTGAGTCTCCGCCCTCAGACTTTGTCCTCTTGGTTTCTGATGGAAAAAGCCACTCTATAGACATGTAGATGGGGGAGGCGGTTATTTTATTTTATTCTACTTTATTTAATTTATTTTATTTTTACCAGTCCTTCAGGGCTGTGTAGTCCTGGAGCTACATGGAATCAGCACAGATATCTGCAAGCATAACTCTGCACACATGGTGGCTTGTACGCAGGAATCATGTGGCCCTGTGGAAATTATGGCCAGATAAATCATAGAGTCATAGAATCACAGAAAGGTCTGGGTTGGAAGGGATCCTAAAATCATCTAAAATCATTCCAGACCCCATACAGGGACACCAAATGAAATAAGTCCTCTGTCATTTCCATGGATGTACACAGAGGTGTCATCTTTCAGACTGTATCCCCCAGGCTCTACTCATGGCTCATCACTGTGGCAGCCTTCCCCTCCAAAACCCAAAGACAACCATGTGCACAGAAAGATTTGGGACATGGGGCAGCACAGGAAACTTCAGAAGAATGTGCTGCAGATGAAATCTTTCCTTACAGCATCATTATAAGTGCCTTTTTAACTTTTTCAGGCTGTTGGGGAAAGCCAGAAGGGAAGGAGAAGGACTGTGCATTGAAAGCAGTGTGCTTTTAGCTGCTGGGTGAAACAGGATTTGGAGGAGAGCTGTGGTTGCTTCTGTGGTGACAACCTACTCCAGGCAGCCCTTGGAATGACTTTGACAAGTTCTAGAGCAAGGCTGTGTCCTGCTGCCTTTAGGGAAGGCAAAGGCTGACATAGTGGGCCACTCTAGGGTTAGGAAGCACTTGAGATAGAAAGGAAAAAAGAGTGCACAGACATTCTTCTCAGTCACACAGATGTGCAAAACAACGGCATCTATTTATCTATTCATTTATTCTGTTAGGTTTTATTTGCAACATAAAAGCATCCACAAAACTACCCATCCAGACCTTCTGTACATGTCAGAGCCTCCCTCCTCACCATTGCTTTCTGCTTTTCTTCCCCACAGGGCAACGGCCTTTGGCATCCTCAACGGGCTTTGCAAGTTTGGTGCCATCCTGGGCAACTCCATCTTTTCCTCCTTCGTAGGGATAACCAAGGTGGTTCCCATCCTCCTGGCCTCCTCCGCGCTGGTTGGAGGTGGCCTGCTCGCTTTGCGCCTGCCAGAGACTCGAGAACAGGTCCTGATGTGAGCAACAGAGGCCTAGGGGTTTGTGGGGGGGGGGGCAGACATAGAAGAAGAACAAAAAAGAGCCATGTTTGGAAAACCCAAAATGTTCATTTCTACACCGTTCTGTCGATACCTCAAAGCGAGATGGCAGAGGGATTGAAGGGCCCGAAGGGATATAAGCAAAACCCCGTAGTTTCTGACCTTTTTTACAGCCACGACTGGTGCATGCAGCTCCCACACGCCCCTTGCAGAGCTTGGGTCCAACCTTGCCTACGCTGGGAGCCCACCCTGTCCCTCCCCATCCCACTGTAAGGACACCAGACGTGACAGCGGCTCCGTGCATGTGTGCGCCTGCGTGGGCGCGAGCGCGTCCGACGGGAGAGCAGACCCTCACCCCCTCCTGCCTTTGCCGAGCTGTGAGATACTGCCCGCCCTGCCCAGCACTGCTTGGCAATCCATATCAGCTGTGCTCAGACTCGAAGGGCATCCCAGGGGAGGCAGGTAACAAACTGCTGTAGGTGAGCTCCAGCAACAGGGACAAGAGCTACAAATGTGGCCAGTGACCCACTGTCTTGATTTTGGGGTTACCACCTCAACCGCCTGGAAGAGTGAGAGGGTCCTGATTTCCAGAAGATTCAAGGATGGGTGCTTGGCTCTCTCAGAAGACTTAGAGTTTCAAAGCCCTTTACTGTCTTCACTTGGGCACAGAAAATCACTAGGCACCTTCTTGGTCTGAGAGAGAAATATCTACGTAATTTGATATATATATATATATGTATTTACACATACTTGCAAACGTGTATACACATTGAAGTGGTCAGCTATTAAAATTTAGAATTTTGAATTTCTGCACCCCTAAGAAGATTTTGAGACATTAAAACTAATCCCAATAATTCAAGATTATCTGGAGTCATGATCCAACTTAGTGCCACTTCATTCTTTATATCCAGACACCAAATATTTCAATGTATTGATGGCTGGGAATATATATTTCTATAATGATTAATTAGTTGTAGTTTTTTGCCTACAACTTTCACAGAGGAGAAATTGATATGCTGTTGGAGCATTCCACAAACCAAATGTGTACATATTATCCAGTGTAAATAGGGTATTTTTGCCTAATACCTAGAGTATGGTAACTGTGAATTTACCAGCATTTTAGCCATATTATTTAAAGAATATGATGCTTGATTTTCTAATATACTTGGGTCTCATTGAAGCACTGTAAGCACAGTTACTTAAAGCCATTTAACTTGTTACACAGGGAATGCACACAGCAAGCTTTCACTGTACAGAACATTAAATTCTCCATTAAGTGGCACAGTTTAGTTTGATATCCTGTGAAGAACATTTTTGAAATTTGTGTGCCCTTTTTATCATACAAGTCCTGTTGCACCTAGAAGCAAAGTAAGTTGTGTATTTTAGAGTATGTTCTCTTGGGAAGCCAGAATAAAATGTATCCTGTTCAATAACACACCAGTGCTCACAATAGAGGAGATAACACTAATTAGATCATTTCAAGAAACTCAGCAATAGACCAGAATTGATAAGAAACCATCACACAGTGCAGGGAATTTGCCGCACCAGGATATTTTGTGACATAAAAAGGTCTTTTGTACTTTTGCTCCTGATCTTCCTATTTACGTTCCTTTGGATCCTCTTTGTTGCTTCCCCCCCCCCCCCCTTGTTTGTTTGTTTGGTTTTTTTTGTTTGTTTGGGTTTGTTTGGGATTTTTTAAGAAAACCAAGCAAGGCTAGGCTGAAATCCTGCAGGACTGATGTTTCACACCTCTGCCTTTGGCTGCACAGGGACAGTCACGCTGGCACCAGCCCAGCCATCGCTGCAGCTGTGGGAGTCAGCGTGGTGCTGCTGCAGAGGGCAGCTGGAGGACACACAGCAGGGTTAGATCACAAGCAGCAAATCCTTGCTGATGAGGCAAAAGCCTCTAATGAGCATCACTCTCATCATCGTGACAATCAGGGCTAAACACTTCTGGAGTAGCGAGGCTACAATGGGCTGTTTGGGATTTTTGACATTTATTCTGAGGTTCATGTAATTGATAAAATCACAAGCTGCTGTAATAACAGAACTTATTATGCATAATTTCTTCATTTTATGGGTAGCTTAGGGCCTTTTTTTTTTCAAATTTGTCTTCAGAACAGCAAGGTTCCTTCTTTAAGGTAGGAGTGAATGTAATAATGTCCTTTGGCAGCAGTTCACAGCTTCTGTTCAGAATCCCAGCCTAGAATGTGGGGTTTTTTCTCTCTCTGGTCCTTTTGCATGATAAGAAGCAGCTAAATATGTATTTTAACACAGAAGATCACTATGACCTTCAGGCTTCATCCATTTTGTCCAGCTGGGCTTGCCAATTACAGCATTACAATTGGGGGACAGGAGGAGGGAAATTTTGTTTTGTTTGCTTGGCTATTCATTTGTGCTGCTCTGTGGAGCCAGAACATGTTTATTTAAATATTTATTTTACGTAGCACTCTTAGTTACTTATTACCCAATGCTCACAGAAAAACTACTTGTGTTCTCCATTGCCACTGTGCAGTGACATTAATGACATAATTTATTTTGCAAAACTTCTCTTTAATTTTCAGAGAAGGAAGTAATTGAGGTCTTGAGGAGATAGAAATGGCAAGACACTATTAGGAAATACATCCCATCTTAGAAAAATTTCCTCTTTACAGAATGGCTTACAGGGTGCTAAACCTCACCTCACAGACTAGCTGGGACAATGTAAATAGCAATAGGATCTTGTTATCAGTGTCACCTGGGCTACCCATGTACTATAGAAATTCTACATCCCTAAAATCCATGGGTGAGTCACTTGAGGGCTAAGGGATGTTGCACGTGTGTTGGGACAAGGCTCCTACCCCTGGCTTGACCAGGGAGTTCGTGCCTAAGACCAGGAGAGAGCAAACACACACTGCAGCTGGTACAGGAGAGCCTGGGAAAGGACAGCACTGGGCAGGGAAGGAAGAAAGGAAAAGCTAAGGAGAACTCCTGTGACCTCTCTCAGACACACACGAGTCAGGGGTCTGTGGCTGAACTCTGAAAGGCAGAGGCAACAGATATCACCCTGCTCAGGCATCGTGCCGAGCTGGAGATGCCCTGGACAGCCCTGCTTCTTCAGGAACAAAGGAATCCAGGGCAACAGCTCCAGCTCAGGCATTTACCTTTGCAACACCCGGGCTGACACCTCCCATCCAACTTCGGCTTGAACAGGCATAATCAATGCTCCTGGTGTGTTTGTTATCCTCGTCGTGGTGTAAATCAGCGTAGGTCTCACACTGCTGCTTTCCAGAGCAAAATGGTTGGTGGGTGCAGACCCCTCAGCATTAGCTCTGGTTTGATTTGGGCTCAGTTTCAAGCCATGGGCTACCTGACAGGCTGAGCCTGAGTCCCAGAGCCCTGAAGCCCTGTTCAGGGGGAGATTTCTCATCAGGCACCTCCTCTGATGGCTCACCTTTATTTTTACTGTAAAATCAGCATTACACCTGCTGTGCAAGGGCCAGCATGCCTCTTCCATTGGTTCCCCTGCCCATGTTTGCCACAGTGAACAGTCTCTGTCTTGGATACACTGGACCATCCACAGAGTAAGCTGCTGACCACGGGTCCCCTGGTGATCTCTGCAGAGCACTATTTCCACGGATTCATGTACTTTACTGCAACAAGGACACAGGGGACTGAGACAGAGGACTTGCCTTAAATCCCAAAGATCTTTATTCTAGAGGACAGCTGGACCTCCTCACGGATGTGTGGCACACCAGTACAGCCACTTGCTTATCCAGGGACACTGTGGCATAGTAAAGGTGAGTCTAGGGAACCCAAATGGACCTGCTGTCACTTGGTTTCTTCAGCTGTACAGTGGTGTAATGGGGGTCACAGGAGGAGTCCTTTGCTGAGTTTCTGAGCATGCAGACACAGACATTTAGAGGGACACCAAGCACTGTTGATACTATTTTAAAAGACCAGTGGTATTATAATGAGTTCTGCCTCCTTATACTCCTGTTGATTTAACAGGTTGTTGTATATTGATTTATTTACTTCAGCTGTGCAGGACAGCTCCTGTTACTGCCTTTGGCTATGCTATATGTCCTAGTGATGGTGGCTGCTGCTTCTGCTGGGTGGGGTGATCCCCTCCTTGCCCATATGAACATCATTCTTTGAAATTCCTTGAAATTCTACATGATTTATAAACACTGATGTATGGATCCTTTGGACTAAGAAGAGGATCATTCTTGGAGAACCCATCCCCAGAGCTGGGTGTTCTGCACACTGGGCAGTGCTCAGGCATCCTGATGTCCTTCAGTAATATTGAAGAGGTGCACTGAGGGATGTTCCTTGAGCCTGGGAGTGGCCCAGCCCCAAGGCTGGATTCACAAAGGGACACAGAGTGAGGCTGCATGGAGCTGAGCTTTCTGCAGATGTGCAGGTCTGTCTCCCCCAGGTCCTGCTTTGAGGCCTCCAACAGCAGAGTATACTCTGATGCTTTTAAGGAGGCCCTGGATCCATTTATATTTCCTACTTATGTCCTTTGACTTTCCAAAGGGCACACAAAACCCAAGAGGATATTTTTAGGTTATGTAGATTTGAGCCCTATACATTTTATTTTCCATTAATTTTCTCCCCGTTTCTCACCCTTGTGTTAGTAAATGCTGCTTTTAGGAAGAATCAAACCTGGGAACTGTGAAGGAAACAAAATGAAATAAATTTCTTTGCTGTATGTGATGCTAGTGCTGTATAAATGTACGCACACTGCAAGTCCCATTGTAAATAACACCTGGTGTCGTGCTTTAATGGAAAGTTTCATTTAGATGTTCTGTCAGCTCTGTGTGTGAAATAGCCAATTCCAGTCCCTTGGTTCTTTTTCTTCATTTAAAACCTTCTTTTATTTTTTTTTTATTTGATCTGTGTCTGGTTGTCACTGGAAATTGCAACTGTTCCAATGGACTTCGTTTTTGTTCTCTCTGTCACATTAAAAAGCTGGAAGAAAAAGAATGGCTCTTATAGTGTTTGTGTTTAATGTGCACTTTGAGGATTTTTACAAGGGCTGCCATGGGTGACTTTGTATCCTGACAATGTGGGGGCTTCCTCTGTTGTTTGCTACTTGTACATCCTTCCTCTCTCAAACAATCCCACCTCAATTAAGTGTCCCTTCTATCACAGTCCTTTCACACCGTGGACTTCCAAACCCAGTACATGAGGAAATCTTTACCCTGAGAAGTTTTCTGGTAGGAGGAAGCACGAAATATCTTTAAAGGCTGTGCAAGACTGAAAAGCTAAACTCTGCTTTGTAACAAGAATACATCCAAAAAAACCCCCACTGCTTCTTGAGGCTTGGCACATCATTTGACCACAGCATACTCCCTTATTGGATGTATTTCCAAGAATGGGAGCTCTTGCTTTTTATTTGCAGCTCTTTTTATAAATCTAACTGTCCAGCCCATGCTTTCAGAGCAATGATAGAGACAACATCAACTGTATGGGAAAAGAGCTCACGGCATAAGCAGTGGAGGCTGGCAGCCAGACTGTGGGGTTTATGTAATAATTTCCTTATGTATTCCATAAAATGCAGTGATATTTCTTCTCCAAGACCCACTGAAGATCAGCAGGGTTTTGATTCTGAGTCAAATCTGGCTTGTTGTTAAGAAATCTAAGTGCTGAAATGTTGTTGGGTCAGTCAATGATTAGTTCTCTCTCCATGTACACTGCATATGCAACATCATAAAGGCAATATTCAAGGGAGAGATAAAGAGCTAGAGAGACTGGAAATGTAATAAAGGAACCATGATGGTACCTCCATCATCAGGAGACTAAATCAGTGTTTTCCCTCAGCTCAGGTTCAGCTGGGTGCCATAGGACCCATCTGAACTGGGGTCCCACTGGGTGAACCAAAGCCAGCAGCAGTCTGGGGGAACTGGTAAGGACTGGTCTAGGTGGGAGTTGCCAACTGTGAATTTTGCAGTGCTCACGTCTGACTGCGGAGTGCAGAGCTATGGAGTCAACATTCTGTAAGCCCCTTATGTGTGTTCTGCCTGTAGGAAAATGTGCATCAGCAAACACCATCAAAAAGCATTTTCTACGAAGTGGGTTTTTAGATAAAGGTCAGAGATTTGCACTGAAAGCCTTGGAGGTGCTTTTGAGTTGTCCTTTCTCCAGGCTAGTTGACATTCTGCATAAGACTGAAATCTCAGCAAGCAGGAAAATCCCGTATTTGAATGTTCAGACAGGGTTGCCGATAAAAAACAGTGCATAAAACCCCCGACTAATTTTAAAGTAGGGAGCAGGGAATTTAAAAGCAGGATTATGCGACACAGGGGCCTGAGATCACATAGGATGGAATGGATGATAAGAAAACCTTTTCAAATCTGCGTTCTTACTTTTCCATATTGATGTTTCTACCCTGACCAGCTCATGTTGCTCACTATATGGAGTTTCTGGCACAGATTCTCAGAGCCACTAATAAATGACCCAGATTCCCTGGATATGCAGGTTCATCCAAGCTGTCACAGAAGGTTACCTGGTGAAGGAAGAAGGCTGGAATTGACAGCATTCCCAGCAGCCACTAAATCCAGCTATAGGTCTCAGTGATGCTTCTGAAGTGTGAAGTGACTTCGTTCCAGGAATATGATTTGAGTTAGATTATGGTAAAAAGGAAAATAATTTTACCAATGCTCCTATATCTCAGATCCT